CCCCGGGGCCTGGCGGGCTGGCGGCGCGGGGCCGGGAGGTGGGTCTGCGTGCGCCGCTGCTCCGGGGTGGCCAGCGGAGACGGGCCCGTGGGCGGGCCTGCCGGATAAAGCGGATTCTCCTGAAGTTGACTTCGGTGTCCGTCCCGAGGGGCTGGAGCGTGCGCCTCCCTTACGCTCTGAGGGCCACGCGGGCCCTGTCCCCGCTCCTGCCTCACCCGAGAGGCCAGGGTTCGTGAATCTGGAGTACCTTCCGACTGCCCACCGTTGTGCCGCACCCCGAGGCTCTGTGGAGGCTTTGCAAGAGTTGGAGGGGTAGAGCGGGGAAAGAGCCATTTTGTCACCCTGACCGGGGAGACGGAAGAGGCCAAGAGGAAACGGGCTCCTACTCCCTGCTTGTGGGGCCCGGCCCCCGGGGCAGCGGCTGGGCCCTGCTCTGGAGCCCCCCGCCCCCCGCCCTTGAGGGCTGGCTCCTCACTTCTGGGTCTGAACTGTCCCTTAAGGAAGGCTCAGCGACAGCCACAGGGCGGGGGTGGGGGTGGATCCAAGGAAGCCTTCTTTCCATCCCGGGCATCTCATCTCGGGGATTGGATGATCTTTCCACGGCAGAAATGCTGTGTGCCTGGACTCCTCCAGGATGGTCTGGGTGCCAGGGAGCCACTGAATTGGCAGGGAGAGGAACGAAGTGAGGGGTCCAGGAGCTGCCCTGAGGAGGCTCACACCTTCCCAGCGAAAAGTGACTAGATCCTGGCACAGGGTGACTGAGTCTCGTAGACCTGAGTCTGTGACACCTGGCGGTTCCAAAGAGTCTTTGAGTTAGCCCGAGATCGGAGAGGGCAAGGCCAGATGAGGTCTTGAGAAAAGCACTCCCTGAAGACATGGACCGGTGGCAGCTGCAGTCTGGCCCCCACCCCATGTGCAGAGTTAGGTTGGGCACAGGTGCCCCTCACGGTGCCCAGGGAGGCAGAGGTCGGAGGAAGGGAGCCAGGACCCGGCAGTGGCATGTGTAGATTCTGGCGTGCTTCTCCAGAGGCCCATGGGTCTGCCTCGGAACTGCCTCTGGACTTGACAGTTACATTCCCCGATGCTGGTATCCTGAGCGCTGTTTCCTTGCACGCCCTCCGAGGGCCCCAGAGCTGGGTCTGGTTGGCGTCCAGGTGTATGTGCCCGTGCCCCTGACCACCAGTCCAGCTTCTCCATCCACATCATTGCGGCTGCATCCGTGTGCTTTGTCTGTTTGCTCCTTTAGAGGGTCAGGGACCTCGGACACCTTAGCACTGGACATGCTGGTAGAGAAATGAGCATGGTGGTGATAACGGGGAACCCCTCAGGCAGTCTCCCGGTGCGGTCCAGGTGGAGATGGGTTTGAAGCTATGGGAATGGAGGGAGGCCTACTGGACCCGTCCAGAGCAGCAGGAACAAGGGGCTTCTGCAGGGAGGTTTCCAGGGTAGGGTAGGGGCCGTGCAAGTCTCCGAAGCCTGTTTCAGCCCCTTCAGGGCTGTAGCCGCCCAGCCCCCCCAGTACTTGATCTGTCCTGAGAAAGCCCTGATACCTCTCTGTCCCTGAGCCAGTCTGGGATCCCTGGGGCCAGGCCCCAGTGGATCAGCTCCTCCCACTTCCATTTGGCCTCATTTTTACTCATCCAGCAAATTTCCCTAAACCCGGACAAGGTATCAGGCACTGGTGGAGGCCCTGGTGCTGCACGCCCCAACTCTGCAGCCCTGCCCAGGACAGCTCCCGCCTCCCGAAGTGGGGGCTAGCCCCGGCCCATGTGTCCAGGCCAGGGGTCAGGAGGGAGAAGCTCTTGTGGGCAAAGATGGACAGTTCAGTCCTGCCTCCAGGTGCCTCCGGACAGGGAGGCAGATACATCCTTGTTACCTGGGCGGCCAGGAGAAGCTGCTCCTGAGGCAGCCTCCAGGAGCGGCCCCTCTTCAGGTATGTAAACCCTACATGGAATTTTCTCTTTCCTGAGTCTCCATGTTGTTAGAAGCCAAGTCAGGAGGAAAGCTGGAAAGGAAGCCAGGGACTTAGGGATGCAGACCCCTTTACACACTGCAGTAAAGATCCTTTGGCTGACCCATCCTCAGCAAGCTGAACCCATTCTTCCTCCTGCTGCCAGGCTAGAGACTGGCTGTGTCCCCTGGCTGAACGCAGAGCTCTGGGTGGCCTTGGGGGATGTGCTGGAGCCTAGCCCTGGAGGGGCGGGGCAGGCGGCTAGGGTTTCAGGTTTGTTTATGCCTCTAGCAGGCACCTTGGGGCCAAGGGTGTGACACAGGGCTCAGCACTGACATTCAGCAAAGCTCCCGATTTCCCCAGATTTCCCCGTTCTGCTGTGGGTGGGTAGGAGGGGGTTGGCTCTACAGTCCCAAGCAGGCCCGGGGTCTGGAGTTTTTTCCATGGTGTTCTGGGGGGTGTGGGGTGCACTGTGGTCCTCAGCAAGCCTGGGCCAGCAGGGTACCAGCCGGTGCACAGGAGGAGCAGTTCACACCCAGGGCCGGCCTGAGCTCTGCCAGGCCCCACGACGGTGTTCTTTTCAGCAGGGTCAGCGCTATTAATACCGGGAGGGCACACAGCCCCCAGCCGAGTGATCCTCCTAATGCCTGTGGCCTCAGCCTCTGGGGCGGCCGCGGGTCCTGTTCTTTCCACACGGGGCTCTTCCGACCCCTCCCCCAGCTCCTCACCTGCTGGGCTGCCTGCCCACCCATGGAGGGGCAGTTCAGGAGGCCCCTGAGCTGTCCTGGGGGGCTGCTGTGGGTCTGAGAGGCACAGTGGAGATGTCCCTGTACACACCTGGGATCACCCTGCTGTCCGCTGTCCCCTGTGTCCCAGCCATGAGCAGCCCCCCAGCTTACCCTGGCATCAGGATCTCGGGGTGCTGGGCCCTTGGAGCAGAAGGCAGGTGAGTGGCAGGCCTGTTGTCTCCTGTGGCTGTGCTGAGGCAACCTGCCTTTGCTGTGTCTTGGCCGCTTGCAGCCCCGTGCATCATGTGTCTAATCGACGTCAGGAGACAAACAGGCTGGGTAGGTGCTCTTGAGGGGCCAGGCTGGGCTGGCCACCAGCAGGGGCTCTTTTTGCTTGGGGCTGTCTGTTACAGGTGAGTCTTTGTCCGTCGTGGCTCATAATCCTTTGGTTTGAAATTACCTTTTGTCACTGTGGCCAGACGCACCCCGTCCTTCTGTGGACTGGGTAAAGAGATCTTTGGTGCGACATTCCCATTTCCAAGGTCGTGTCGCTGAGAAAATGGGGTGAGGCTTGCTCTGAGGTCACAGCAAGGCTTCCTCCCTGGTTCCCAGAGAGAGATGGGGCTTTGGAGACCGTGGAGCTGGGCTTGGCTGCACACCCAGCCTGATACCATTTAGACCCATCACACGCCCTAGATGGGGCGGGTTTCTGGCAAAGCTCTCTCTGGCCTACTTTCTGCTCTTCTGGCGCATGGGCACTCTTCCCTGGGACGGTGTCTGCCCCAGGCTGTCGGCAGCATGAGCCTCAGAAGTCCGTGGTCGTGGCCATCACTACCTCAATGGGACAGGGAACCCTCACAAATAAGGATTCAGAGTTTCCTGTTGGAGAGGTGCACCGGGGTGAGAAGCGGGGGATGGGAGCAGGCGTACACGGCCCTGAGGCAGGCCCGGCTGTGAGAGAACTTGCTCAGCACCAGCACACAAGAGCGTGTTCGGGAGATGGTGAGGCCCTCCTCCTCCTTTGCAAGTCAGGTTTTCCACAGTAGAGCTTCCTCCCAGAAGGCACAGAGGGAGGGGCCGGGCTGGACTTTGTTTTCTGGCCCCCATCACCTCCAGGGCCATCTGTCCTTTGCGGGGTACGTGGGCTGCTTCTGGGAGGGCAGCGCCGGTGAGCACCGGAGGCTACTGCTCTGTGCTGTTAGGGGAGTTTGTCCAGGGCCTGGAGACACCTCTGCTTGTTCCCTCCTGCCCCCCCCCAGTCTCCCCCACCCTGCCGTGTCCATCTCTGGCTTGACGGAGCGGGAATGTGGGCGGTACGCCTGGGATAGCTCCAGGCTGGGCAGAGTCCCCCACACACTGACTGTTGGGTGGCAGTGCCTGTCTCCAGAGCCGCAGAGGTGACACCGAGCACATAGACTGGCTAACTGCCTCCACTGCTGGCTCCTTGTGCTGTCCCGACAACGAGGAGCCATGGCAGCCGAGTGTTGTCTGTCCCCCGGGATGGTGCCACGTGGCTCCTGCCCTGCGATGGCTGGTTTCTCACTGCTAGGACTTGTGCTGTGGTTGTCCTCGGGGCTCTCAAGTGCTCCTGGTGTGACCTGTCCCGCCTTTGGCTTTGGCGAGTTTCTTCCTCCGCCTCCGACCCCCAAACATACAGGCACACCGTCCTCCTGGCTCTTGACAACACCAGGTGCTACGGGAGGACTGCACAGCTGGGAACACCAGTGTTCCCAAGGTGGAGATGCCCAGGCTGTTCCAGACGCAGGAAGGCACTCTCGTGGCCCTCGGCAGGCTGATACCGCCCTCACTGGCCAGACTCCTGGCACCCCGTGGCCTCACACTGCTGGGCATGGCAGTGGTATGGGCTTGGTCTGTGCTTAAGACGTTTAGTGTGGCAGGAGCCCCAAATCCTGGTCCCCAGGGCAGTCTTGGCAGCTCTGTGTCTTTCTCTGTGCATCCCGTTTTGCTCACATGTACTCACATGAAGGTGTGTGCAGGTGAGCTCTCTGCATTTGCTGGGTTTGTAGGCACGGGTCACGTCTTACTGCAGTTGGCTTTCTCAGCTAAGCGGACTTCAGGACACCGTCCCTGCCTGTGTCCTTCTGAGGCTTTCATGCTAGTACGGTGAGCAGTGTGCATCCCTGGGGTCCCGGACCAGGGGTGCCCAAGCCAGGGGGTGCAGGCAGCGTCCTGCAAGGCCGGACTTGCCCAGGACGTCTGCACGACTTCCTGCACGTTCCTCCCACCCGCTGGGGGCTCTGCCCGGACAGTCAGCAGTGCGGTGGCCACCACCGGCCTGGAAGCCTCCGGAGCAGGTCCGCGAGGTGGTAGGTTGGCCAGCCCAGCCGCTCTCTTCCCCGAGCTTGTCCTGGCCCTGCGGCCGTCTTTACACCAGGCTTTTGTGACCCAGCCGTCAGCACACGCTGAGCAGGCGTCAAGCACACACTACCGCCCAGCTAGCCGCCCAGCCAAGTGCAGTCTCCCCAGAGCTGTCACTGTTGGGATTCGAGGCGCTGGGCCAGCAGTCACACTGTGCCCCTTATGAGCCCACGGGGAAGCCAGCATGCCACTGGGCACGGGGGCACAACACAGGCTGGAGCAGGACACAGATGCTGTCCGTGCCTCCCCCAGATTGGGTTTTCCGGCCTGTGGCTCCTGGGGTCTCCTGCCTTCTCGGTCTGCAGTGTGCTGGAGGGCAAGAAGCAAGGGCTGCCCTACGGGCCTCCAAGCCCAGGGACTCCCTCCTGCACCCGTCCCCTCTGCCAGCCTGCTCAGCTTTCCTGTCAGCAGCCTCTCTGTCCAGGACCCCCCCTCCCCGTGTGCCCCTCAGGGTGGCAGGGATTGGATCTTACAGAGAGTGTCGTGGGAGGGAACATAGTCCTTGATGGGGTCCTGACTGCCCTGCTGTGCCCCCCTCTCATCCTAGGGGACAGGGGCCAGGCCCAGGATGGCACTCCTCATTTCCCCTAATGCCGTTTGCTGTCCCTCCGAACGTGTGTGGGCAGTGACAGTCCAAGGCCAGGAGCCCTGTGGATGGGCTGCAGGGGGCTTTCATGTGCCCCCCAGTTGAGTCCACCCAGCTTGGCGGTGCCTGTGTGCCTGCGTGGGGGGTGGACCCCGTGGCCGGCCACGCCAGGCCTGACACAGGATGGCAGGGTGGCTGGTGGCCCTGGGCAGAGGCAGGCGTGTCCTTCTCTGCAGCGGCCATGCGGAATCCTTGGACAGGCTCCTCCCGCCTGTGGGCACCGGGCGCTCACCCCGGAAGCGCACCACCAGCCAGTGCAAGTCTGAGCCGCCCCTGCTGCGCACCAGCAAGCGCACCATCTACACGGCCGGGCGGCCGCCCTGGTATAATGAGCACGGCACACAGTCCAAGGAGGCCTTTGCCATCGGTAAGTAAGGCAGGACCTGTCGAACCCCTGAGTGGCCCTGCCACTGATGTGAGCTGCCTCGGGCCCCTTGGGCTGTCAAGCCTGGGGGGCAGGGGAGGGGAGCTGCAGGCAGAGCGTTGGGCGGGGGGCCGCCCTGGAGCCGGGCTGGGGGGCTGGCCCTGCTGCTCTTGCCCAGGGTCGCGCTGCCCCCTTCCACAGGTCTGGGAGGTGGCAGCGCCTCTGGGAAGACAACTGTGGCCAGGATGATCATTGAGGCCCTGGACGTGCCCTGGGTGGTCTTGCTGTCCATGGACTCCTTCTACAAGGTGAGGAGCACGCCTGCCCATGCAGGCCACGTCTGCGGAGGGCCTGGATGCCCCTGCCCCTGCCCCCGCCCCTGGCCCTGGCATGGTGTGGAGGGGCCCACAGAGCCCCTAGTGCCTCCCCCCACAGGTGCTGACCACGCAGCAACAGGAGCAGGCCGCCCACAACAACTTCAACTTCGACCATCCAGATGCCTTCGACTTTGACCTCATCGTGTCCACCCTCAAGAAGCTGAAACAGGGCAAGAGCGTCAAGGTGCCTGTCTACGACTTCACCACCCACAGCCGGAAGAAGGACTGGGTAGGCCTCGTGGGCTCGGGCTGTGCGTGCCTGCCTGGGAACATGGCGGGCGACCAGCTGCACGATTCCTTTGCAGAAAACACTCTATGGTGCAAACGTCATCATCTTCGAAGGCATCATGGCCTTTGCTGACAAGACGTTGCTGGAGGTGAGGGCAGGGCTCAAGGCTGACGGTCCTGCTGGGAATGCCCATCCCTGCTCATCTTCCTGCTTCTCCTGTGGTTCTAACCTTAAACTTGCCTCCTCCAAGCAGGCCAAGCCACTCCCTCTGTCCCCGTGGTATGTGGTCACCTGTCCCATCCCGGTGGTGCAGTCACTGGGTGTTGGGTGGGGAATGGCTGCTCTCCGGAAAGTGGGTCAAGGACATTGGGTGGAACAGACCCCCCACTCCCGCAGAGAGAATGGAAATGCCCTTGGTGGGGGAGGCAGCCTGAGGAGGGTGCAAGCCCTGGGCCAGTGCCTTGACCTTCTCTTCTTAATGCTTGCTCACCTTCTTGTGTGTGTTTTCTCTGCTGCTCTCTGGGGCCCATGCGGTCAGTGAGGTCAGAGTGACCTTGGGGCAGTGGTTCACATGTGCGTGCACGTGCGTGCTCTTGCCTGGGATGGAGACGGCCTGTGTCTGTGCTGTCCGACCCCGGGGAGGCACGCACAGCTGTGTCCTTCCCACCAGGCCCTGCTGTAGGTGGGTCCTTCTCCTGCTGCTGCTGAGGCCCGTGAGGGAGGCCTGTGCTCTGGTCCTTGTTCCTTGTAGTTCTGAGGCCAGTGAGTTTGGGCTCAGGCTCAGGGAACCCTGTTGCCACCATGCAGCAGTACCCAGCCCCCCAACAGCCCCTTTAGGCCGGACCTGAACTCACCAAACCCAAGCACTGTGGTGGGGGGTATGGTGGGGAGGGGACACGCCCCCCGTTCCCCTGATATGTGTGAGGGCACACAGACAGCTGACAACCCACAGTGACGGTGCCAGCTCTGTCCTGCCTCTGCGGCCAGGGTCCGTCCGGTGCCCTCTGACTAAGCCTCTGGTGGATAGTGCCCCCCACCCACCATGTACACACCCCCCTACGTTTCCCCACACCCGTGCACTCTGCCAGCCAGACTGCAAGGTGCCCCAAGGGCCTGGTTTGCTCCCGGGCCAGAGGTCTTTGCAGGAGCCGGTCCCCAGGTCGCCCACACCGGCCCCGCTCAGCGCCTCGCTCTCCCCATCCAGCTCCTAGACATGAAGATCTTTGTGGACACGGACTCCGACATCCGCCTTGTGCGGCGGCTGCGCCGGGACATTAGCGAGCGAGGCCGAGACATCGAGGGTGTCATCAAGCAGTACAACAAGTTCGTCAAACCTGCCTTCGACCAGTACATCCAGCCCACTATGCGCGTGGCAGACATCGTGGTGCCCTGGGGTGAGCCTGCGGACCCACCTGCCATTGGGAACGTGGGCAGAGGGGCCTTGGGACCCCATGTGACCCTCCTCACCTGTCCCAGGGAGCGGAAACACGGTGGCCATCGACTTGATCGTGCAGCACATGCACAGTCAGCTGGAGGAGGTGAGCCAGCCAGGCCGGGGCCCGGTCCCTGCAGCCCCCCAGCCCCAGGGCCTGCTCCCCTGCTGCCACTGTCAGAGGCCTGCTCTGCGGCCCCCGTGTGTTCATGTCCCCGCCGTGTTCTGGCCCTCCGGTGTCCCTGTGCCGGCCAGAGGCAGCTGGTTCCCTGAGAAAGCCTGGGGGGCAGAGGTGCCTTCCGGTACTCCCAGCCTGAGCTGGGCCTTGAGTGTCCCTCCCAGACCTTCAGGGGACCGTTGGGTTTTAGTGCAGGGTCCCACATCCTGAGCACTCCAGGAGGGATGTCCCAACCTGGTTACAGGCCCTGGGCCGGCTAAGGGCACTGCCACTCTGGACGGGCTTCAGGATGGGGTGCTGGAGGCCCGAGGTCTGAGGCATGGAGCCTCAGAAGCCCTGGCTCTTTGTCCCAGTGCAGAGAGTGCCCAGGTCACGGGCCATAAGAGCTGGCTCCCTCCCGTGGTTGGCGGCCACCCGGGACTGCCCCTTGGGACTGTGGCAGGTCTGCTCCCGGGTGGGGGTGGCCTGGCGGGCCGAGGTGCACGGTGGCAACGGGCCGTGCTGTCCGGTGACTGCGAGGTGAGCACCACCCACTGACGTGCCACCCCGTTCCCTTGTGTCTCCCTGTGTTGCCGCCGCAGCGTGAGCTCAGTGTCAGGTAAGACTTCCCACACCTGTCTGCAGACGGAGGCACTTCCAACATCCACAGGCAGTGCGAAATTCGGGTTGTCACCTGGGCAGGTGGGGGGTCCTCTCCTGTCATGCCCATCCCTGGTGGCAGCCCTGCCCCGGGCGCAGAAAGGATGGTGTGGTGGCCCCCACACTGCTTTTGTCTGTCTTTGCTGGCCGATGAGGAAACTCAGGCACAGAGAGGTTAAGGAACTTGCCCAGGATCACACAGTGCCCTGACTCTATGGTGGTCAGACCTCTCTGGAGGCCTCCCCCCGACATGGGGCTGGTTGCATGGGGTCTGACGCCAGAGGGCACAGCTGTCCTGAGCCAGCACTGCTGGGCCCCCCAGGTCAGTGGTCACAGGCATATCTCTCAGCAGCCAGAGGGTCCTCTGCCTGATCTGGGGGTCCAGTCTCGATGCCCCCAGATGGTGGTGAGGCCCCTGCCCCCTCTGGCGCTGGACCCAGGGCAGAGAGAGAGCCAGGAGGGGCTCTGAACGCACCAGGGGAGAGCAGATGAAGCACCATCCCCCACAGTGCCCAGCAGGAATGACCTGCCTTTAGCCCAGGCTTTCTGTGGAATCCGGGAGCACCAGGAGAGCCCCCAATTCACACTCGGGAGCCCCGAAGCTGCTGCCTTGGGAATGGCCCCTGCAGCGTGCTGCCCTCCCACGAGTCACCGCTTGGCTCTCATCCAGACCAAGGCACCTGCAGGTCTTGCCCTGCCGGGGCCCCCTGGAAGCCTTTGTCCTGAGAATCAAGTTTCAAACTTGGAAAAAAAAAAAAGCCAAAACGCCTAAATGCAGCCGGCTATTTCCCCTTCTCTGGCCAGCCGAGGAAGTGGTGACCGGGGGCGGGAAGCGGGGCCCGGCAGCAGGGTGTGTGCAAAGCCTCCCCGGGTCTCCCTGTCGCCCTGCCACCTGCCTTTTCTCTCTATCAGGCCAGCTGGTGGCCGCGGGGACTCGCTCCCTTGCTAAATGGTCTTTTTCTCTTTGTTCTTTTCCTCCTCTTTGTAAACCCTTGGGTTTCCTGCCCTGTTCCCTCCCTGAACACACTCTTCACCTGGCGAGCAGAGGAAGCTGCGCTGGGATATGTGAGGACAGAGTGCGCGCTGGTTGTAATGCTGCGCTGTGCGCTGTGTGCGGGGGGCGGGGGGG